TTGTTTAATGTTAAAATAACAAATTCCGACACACGTGGTAGTTAAAAACAACAAACTGTTATTTAACTCAATTTATTGGTTTAAATTTCATCCTTTAATATTTAACAGTGTTTCTCTCTCGACAGTGCATCTCTCTCAAAATTGAAATCGAATTGTTTACGCGATCGCATGTGTACATTTTTCAGCATTTCTTATTAAGATCGATTCGCAATGTTTCTTCTCTCTCTGTTTTAACATGTACACTTCCTCGGCGAAACCTGAATAAGGATGCGGGAATGGTTATCGCGACTCGATGTCGCGATTTATATTCGCCGGTCGACGCCGGTCGTTCGTCTCCGCGTAAGTTTCGTGTCGGCGGAGTTTTTCCGCCGACGACGGCGAGGCCGGGCGATACGTTTTCCAACGGAAGCCAGCGTTGAAACAATGAACCGACCAACCGGCGTGCTTCCTGCAAATCTCCAGACTTAGCGCCCCCATTGTCACCCTCCCCCCGGGCAGCCCTTTCCCGCTCTCTTCCCTACGCTCTTCCCGCTTCCTCCCTCGCCCTCTAGCCCCCTCCCCTCCCCCTTCCTCTTCCTCCCCTCGCGGGCGAAGGGTGCTTCGCGGATTTAGACGGCCCCGGTCGCCATGGCAACCGGTGGCGAACGCCAGCCTCTCGAACTTGTTCCACGCGCACGAACCGGAACGCGCGTTTTCGCGCCGCAAACGGCCGATACGAACGCGATCGTTCCGCGCCGCGCCAAATCCCCCGTAAAAAGTTCGCTCCGTACTGCGCGCGTCGGTCATTGAATACAGATTAAAGTGCCAATTGCGTGCCACGGCAGCCCCCGATCCCGACGTATTTTGCGAGAAGAATGAGACGGATGGATCACTGTTCCGACGTTCCCGAGATTTAGAGCCGAACCGTGAGAGAGGGTCGAGAGGAGCGATGAGAATTTTCGCTCAAGTTAACGTCGAAATTAATAGGCCTCGGCAGTGAATTGAGAACGTTTTAATTATATCGGCGATCGTCCGGTTAAATAATATCTATAAAAAACTTACTTTATAAAAAAAGGCATAATAGAAAGGTGCCAAGTGTACGCGTCTGTCTACCTAAAAATAGTATGATATCAGAAATTGGCACCAAGTAGGAATAAATCTTTGAAAAGAAGTTGTTGCATATTTAAAAAAAATGTAATTAAAATTTAAAAAATATTCAATGCAAAAAAATTGGCGCTGCTACATCTGAAAATATTTGAAAACAATCTGCTCTTGTAAATTATAAAATGTAGGTATAAGGTTCATAGAGAATTCTTAAGATTCTATATCTTCTGCTTTTTGGCAATTTTGAATCGTTAAATTCTTTCTTATTTCTTCAAAATCTTCGGATCTTCTAGTTTTTATAAATTTAGTGATTTTTTATATAAACTGAGGAAGTTTAGATCCTTTGGCTTTCTGCATTCCTTGGAGTCGACAATCTTCAGATCCTTATTCTACTTATTTAGTTTCCTATAATCTTTGGAACTTCTTTTATTTGTTTGGTCTCTTGAATTCTTTATTCAAGCTTCCTAACAATTTCGAAAAGCTTTGTCTATTAAAATAATAATTCTTACCATGAAATTTTGTCATCGTCGCGACAACGTCGTATTTCATTCGGCGACGTCGGCGTCGTATTTTTCAGCCGGCGGCTGTGCCGGATTTATCGTTTTAATTTCTGACGGGATTGAAGCGGGAAGAAAGAATAAAGATATCGCGGGCACCCGGGGGATTCTTTTCCTTAGAGAACCTGAAGGCGAGGTACATTCATCACGAGTTATTAAACAAGGTAACAAAAGATTGACGAAAAAGAGACCGGGAGATAGAATCGGCTGAAGATTAAATCGCTCTTTCCCATATTATTATTAATATCATTGTTATTGTCTTCGTAATTATTATGGCATTTATTACAAGGTTCAAAAGTAAAAATCAAGGAATATTTAAATAAAGAAAATTTACGAAACTCTGTACACTTTTTAAACAGTATTATGTTAATAAGCCGTATTGCTAAAAATAGTCAATTATGATTATCAGCGGATATTTACAAACTCTGGCAATCTGCTTTCGAGACGACGTGAAATTCACTGTTATCAGGGGTTGGAGGGGCATATTATGTATTAAATTATGGTCAAGCCGGAGGCCGGCCATAGTGATACCGATGCGCAGCAGACGGGGATGGCAGGGCCTCCCCAGGACAATCCTGTCTCGCGAAATTAACCCTCGAGATCGCCGTAGCTTCCAAAGGATAATTTCATTTGGCAAGCGAGTCCTGGCCGCCCGCGGGCTGTCTGGCCGCCATTTTCTCTCTCTCATTCTCTAGCTCTCCTCTTTTATCCACCGCGGAATTTATTCTTGTCGCAATTTCCGTTTCCCGTGCCATCTTGCCGTGGAAAAAAAAACTGACGCCTTGATACAAAACGCAAGTTAATGAAATTTATTTGACAATTCTTGGATTTCGGCAAAAGCCCAACTTTTCCCCTCTCGATATGGAGGGAACCGAACTTTCCCTGGAAAGAGCGATGCGACGAGCTTACGAGCTTTCACGGACGTGATAAACCGTCCGAAGCCGAACGGGGGGTGCGGCGACGGTGGTGTTACGGGTCAAAACGGGACAAGGGTGAAGAAAAAAATAAGGTCCGCGCCTTCCCACGAGAACGGTCGAGAGAATGGTCGTGAAAACGTCTCCATTTGCGGGACGAAGTCCGATTTTTTCGAAGTCCATCTTCCCAGCTTTATCTCCTCGGGGGTTATTCACCCTTAGATTTCACCCTTGTCGGTGACTTTCACGCGGAAGAACCTCGAGTATTCCGATTGGCGCTTCCGTCGGACACGCAATAAAAAGCCCTGGCCGTACTTTGTCGGTCGATTCCCCAGAAAGAATTGCGAGAACGATCGCAGATTTTCCTCGATGCACACCAATTTAACGTCCCTTAATATTATAAATTCCGGCGCGAGTGAAACAAAACGCTAATAATTATACGTTATTATTGTGTTTTCAGTGCGTCACATTTTTTGGCAAATACGAAATCTACTGTCGTTTAGTAAATATACAAAAGTATGTTGAGAGCTTTTTTTCTCCGCCGAGCGTGTAGGGGAGAAAAATTTTAACAAGTTAAATCTCAAAATTGCCGAAATTTTTTCAAACAGATTTCTTCATTAGTAATCTATTTTATTCCGTTTTCCGCATTTTCCAGTATATCCAACGGACACGTCGCGACGCGGAAAATTTTTATTTTATGTTATTCCTGTGTTTTTTGCCTCATCGTTATATGAAATGAGACATAAATGAGATGAAATAAGTTTATGGCAATAAATGTTGCAACGTTATAATGGAACAAAATCTTGGCGTGCATCTCTGTCTCGCGAGCATGCAATAACGATCCCTTCCCCGGGGGTAGCTACCCTCTCTCGTACCTGTAACATCAATTAAAATTCTCGTGGTCGATGCGCCGCTGTTTCGCGCGATCCGACGTTTTTAATTGGATTAGAGTGAGACGGCTAGAGAGCGGCCGAGGGGAAGGTGGCTCGTTTCGAGGGTGCGAGATTGCGGGAAGGGGGTTGACGGGATATTTCGGGGGGGGGGGGGGGGGGGGGGGGGGGGGAGTTGGTGTAGTTTGCGAGGTAGCGAGGTAAATGACAGAGATGAGCAACTCTGTGTTCCCTTTTCCAGCCGATTCCACCGATGCCCGCCGCCGGAAGGGAAGCAGCGTCGCCGGAAATGAGGAAATTAACTTTTCCATCGCGGTTTAAATTCGCTTCCATTGAAAATTTCATGCCGCGTTTGAAAAATCGTCGGTCCTCGCGGCTTTGCTCGTCACTGACACTGCTTTTTTGTAATTCAAGCTGAAAGTTATCGCTCGTAACGTCTGACACATGCAATATACTTTTGCAAATAATACGGGGATAGGTTTTTGTTTCGGATTTCTCAAAACGAGCTACGATAAGCCGAGCAATCCTCATCACGCGCCCGCATCTGCATTCGCAACACGCCGCGTTAATTATGTATTCAATAAATTTTAAACGCATTGAAATGAATTCAAATTGCAGATTAATATTAAACGGCGTGCGCTAATTGGCCGGCCAATTATGCGGCGTTAATTAAACATTAGAAGCAGCGGCTGTTGATGTGAACACCATTTCGCCATCTATCCGATTTCTCGTCGAGTTAAACAGAGTTTCGTGTTAGAAACGGTGCCATCTTTGAATCGAAATTGCATTTACATCAAACTTTCAATATATCATCAGTTGATTCTGTTCTTCTGTATATATTTGCTGCACGCCGACTATAGAAATCCATAAGACTCATCATTTTATATTTATAATAATTTGCATCAGAGATATCCAGAAAAAAATTTAGTTGTTTGTAAATAGAATTCTATATGTATACACCATTTATTTTAATACATCCGTATATTAATATATTTATTATATAATGGTGTATTTTCAATTTTTTAAATGTTTTTCATATTACATGACACATAAAATTCTATCTTAAATTATGACACGATTTATAGATCTTATAGAGCGGACTTAAAATAAATTATTGGATAAAACTTTGAATGAAATTTATACATGTTTATTACATACTATTATTGACATTTTACTAGGTAACAATTTATTTCAAAATTTAATGATGATAATTCAACTAATATTTTTAAATAACATTATGTAAATAAAGTAGTATTTACATCGTAATGAATTAATAGTAATATATATTGTGAGATTAAATCAATATTTGTCTTTTATCATGCATCGAATGCTAAATGATATATATAATAGGATAAAGGAGAGAAGAACAACGTTATTAGAAAAGGAATATTTTATTACACTCAACTACGATCGTTACAGCATATTGATGTACGTATTAATTCTTTTTTATGCGGGCGCATAAAACATTTATCGTTTATTCCAATTACAGAAGGAATTCGAAACCAGTAAAGTTCGAATTAAAAATAAATAATCGACTTTCCAATAATCATAGCATAATCAACGGAAACGCTTTTATTTCTGATATGTCCTCGATTAGTGATACAATTAGAGCGTGTACGTTGCTGAAAGAAAAATCAGGGAAATCCTTAATCATAAGCTATTACACTTGATTTCATTAACCGGCATTTTCGTGGTTACTTATTATTAAATGAAAGTACACGAAAGTTGTGCGCCCAACTTATCTTTAGTATATCGACCACCAATTATATTACAACATATTGACTACATTAATATTTCACACCTTACAGCTTTGTTCGATTGGTTATGCAGCTGAAACGCGATTACGATGTTGAGTTAAAGTTAAAGTCTTAACAGCGAATGACGGACATTATCTTACTTGTTCATTATATAAAATGATGAGAGAGTAATCTGATTCGTTCATCATTTTCATCTGTCATTTAAATAATCAGTTGCGTTTCTCGCAACGTCATCGACAGATTATGGAAAATTACGTTTGCATTTCATTCTTTTGCACGAATTGTACTTTTGAAGATTCTACTACGAATCCAATTATCTCGATATCGCTTTAATTTAACGCATTATCACGACATAGGGTTGATATCACAGTCTCCGATTTAACGTGATCCTCCGATTAAACTCACTCTTCGTCTCTTTCTAGGGGGACAGTTGGAAAGAGACGCAGAGTGAGAGTTTAATCGGAGGATCACGTTAATCAGAGACTGTGATCCATAATTCTGACATTCTTTTGGCATCTCTTCCATAGTAGGAACCTGCAACGCCGATAGTCGATAAGAACGCGTGTTTCGTTTATGTACCGTACATCGGCAAGCGCATTGTTAGCAAATGTGGCAGAGAGTTATCTGTAGCTGGTAAAAAAATCCCTCTCCTTTTTCTCTCCTCTTTGCGCGCGATCAGTGACAAGTGACGAATATATATCGGATATATCCTCCAACCCCTAAGTCGAAAGTCGTACATACGTCGAGTTTCGGCTACAGTGGGGTGTCCTCTTCTAGGAGTTACCTCAGGGTCGGAGGCGGGGGTGGTGGTCATACAGCACTGCCGGTGTAAAAGCTCGCCTTGCCAGTTAGCCCGGACGCTCGCTTTCTCTTCTCGCATTCCATCGTGCTGAAAGTGTTCTGAGCGATCTGCGACTTTCGCTTCGGGTTTTGCAGGGTCATGCTACGTTGGCTGGAATTGGAGCTGGAGCTGGTACCCGGTTCCGAGACTTTCAGAATGCCCGAGTGTATCGTTCCAAAGTTTTGATATAAATACTGCGATTGAATGGCCGACACCGAGGCGTTTTGATTCTTCAACGTAATCGGGACGGTCTGCCCGGCCAGACTGTTGAATCTAGTGTCATAACCGAACGGGGTGTCCAGCAAGGATTCATTCTGCTTGTCGACGTAGCCGCTCAATCTAGAGTCGAGGAGACCTTCCTTGTCGACGAAACCACTCAGTCTGGAATCTACGATAGTCTGATCGGTGTTCCTCGCGGGGAACTCGGTGTACCGCTGCTCCTGGTCGGGAGGTATCTCCTTGTTGTCCGTAAAGGCGATCATGTTTTGCCTGGAGTCGGACAGAATCCGGGAGTCGATGAAGCCTTCCTTATCGGTGAAGCCGCTCAGTCGGGAATCTATGACGGTGCCCTCCGACTTGTCGAAGTTGTTGTATCGCGGGTCGATGTTTTTGCCGTCCGGGTAGACCGGCAAGACGTGCGACAGGTCTGCCTTATCGACGTAACTGATGGCCTGTGGATTTGACGTGCAAATATCGGGCGCCGACTTGCAGAGCAGCGAGGTTCCTTCCTCGGCTATTTTTTGAGGCGCTAGGACACAGAAGTGCGGACTTACTTTCCTCCGTGGGCATAAGAAAGAGCGCTTATTATTTTACAGGGTGTCCCGCAGCACTTCGGAGATTTTTTTTTAAATTTTTTATGGATCATTGGAATTTTTTCTCGGATCTCAGGATCCTGGGTATACTCGCCAATCGTAAGACCTCTACGGATCCCTCGGTCTTTGCAATTACGTAAATGTACGGTGTGCGCCGCATCATCGCACATATGCGAGACACCCTCTTTAGCGATAAGTTCACCCACTTTTGGTTGGCTGACCGAAGGGTCGGGCCTGCGACGGTCCCGGCGACTTCTGATGCGCCCTCACGAGATACTCCGAGCTGAATCCCCTCTGTTCCCTCAGCTTTCTCTCGGCGCCCGGGACCATGACCCTCACCTAAAAAGGAGAGCAGAGAGCATGAATATCCACCGAAACTCTAAACGAACCGCGACTGCGCGAAATACACACACGACGGTCGACGATAAAGCTAGGAATCCACTTGCGCGATCTCGGGACGGATGTTGTTTCGCATTTTAGTGGGTGGTCCTTTAATGGGGGGCGTCCAAGTGGATTCCTAACTAAAACCGCGCGATCCGATCCGCGCGGCAAGAGTTTTAATCGACAACTTCACCATCTCCTCGACCGTGGAGAACCGCGCCATGTAACCGGACATCGTTAAAACGGCCGCCAGTTCCGCGAGCATCAGTGCTAATCCCGAGAGCTGTAGGCACCAGCCGTAATGGTACTGAGGTAGACCGTTATCGTCCATTTGCATGCCGGCCGTCGACGGCAAACTGTATTTCCCCGGTAATTCTAGTGATGCGTCCGACAACGCTGCCGCCAGAACTATCAAGCCGCCGCCCAAGGAAAATCCTGAAACAGTCATATAAATTCTATATGCATTGCGATGATTTTGAAAATAATATATTGCAAGGTTTAATATTTCTTCCTCTTTAATAATGGTTGATTATTGAGTTTTGAAAATGATATATAGCGGCTAAGTTAAATATTTCTTATTTTTAATAATAATTGAGTCATTGCACTTTTCTCAACTAAATTTCAAGATATTCAAGATATTTTTTGAAAAATTTTAATTAGCAATGTGTAAAAATATTAATTGAGATCTCAACAAAGTAATAATTTTTTTATTTCTTTAACGCTTAAAATTAAAAATATAGATTATATCATTTTTATTACATGCGGTAAAATAACTGAAACTGCCTGTTCGTAGAAATAATTTGTCAAATTGTTAGAAATTTAAGAAATATGGAGTTTTTTTCTAAACGAAAAAATAAGTTTCACACTCTGTTAACCCTTAAATGCCACCCGGGGTCCAGCGGACCCCAAACCCTTTACAATGATATATTTTCAAATGGTCTTGCCAAAAATGGAGCTCATGCTCCCATTGATGATAGTTGAGTGATTGACCTACCCGTTTGTACACTTAGCAGTACTAAGTTTAATTAATTTTTTATATTATGTTAAAATTGAAATTTTAACAATATAAGCATTTTATTCTCTTTTCTAAGCCTTGAACAACACTGAAAAAAATTTTCATAACTAAAGATCAAAAAATCAATGAGTAAGGAGACATGTTTCATGCTGGGGTCTTTTAGACCCCTCATGTCATTTACGAGATTCTTGAGAGGTGTGGCATTTAAGGGTTAAATATTAAAAGATGAAGTTTAAACTAATACCTTGAGTTAAATAACGTTATGTTATTTTTAACTGCCATGTGTGTCAAAATTTATTATTGACCATAACGACATATTGAATAGGAACAGTGTCGATAAGAATGCTATAAGAATGATTAAAACGTCTCAAATTGAGAATAATTATACATTACGAATTTAACAGAGCATATTAACTATTATGAATTGCATTACTAAATACATTTTAAAGACATCTATATATTATTCCTTACACGAAGTTCTCAATTACGAGTAGTTTCACTCTGCACACAGCGAGGAGCTGAAGCGCAACTACCGGGAGCGGGATAAAATTGCCAAACTAGTAAGTAAGACGTGACCGCGGGACATGTTCAAGGATTCGGAGCATCGCCCCCGTACGCGCTATATCACGACAACAGTCCGCCGTGCGCATCTCGAATATCCGCAGTTATAAGAACGCAATAACGGAACAGCTTAGCTCCCGTCAGCTAACGTAGCATCGTCGAGATTGAATTGGCCGTATGAACGACCGTCGGCCTTTCTATGCAAATTTTTACGTTCGCCGTTTCGCGAACGTGGAAAGGACGCGATTAGATCGAAAACTAAATTAGCGCCAAGTCGAAATCTAGACGGAATGAGGATCTGCAGGAGTCTAATCAGTATGCGCCGTCATGCGCGCATGTTATATTAATTGACTAGCGCATCAATTACAGCACCGTCCGGAAAAGTGAGGAGAACCCAATAATGCTGTCAGTATCGATCACTGCTACGAGGATAATCTAACGGTTATTGGGCACGCTTGTGCTGGTCACTGGTGACTGCCGGTGACACGTTAGACGATCAAGGGGCTTAACGTTACAGCGATCGACTGGCATATCCTCGATAATTATTGAAATTATTGGCTTTAATTGGCAAATACGTACCTACGATCAAATGAGTTCATTATAGCTCTAAAGAACGACGTGTTTGTTCGTGTATGTTCGTGGGAGTATTTTAAGATGAGGAAGATCAGGAATTGACTATCGATTACAAAGCAACTTCTCTTTTAGAACGTGGCGATCTCGGAAGCCGGATATCGCTCGGTTCGATAAGCTATAAAGATTTCATTCCGGTCACCGTTGTCATGGGAATAAGTATCCCGCATTTGTCGAGGAAACGACGCCGCTCGTATTGCGAAGCGCCGCACGGTTTACGGAAAGTATACGAACGATCGAGTCATAATAAAAGCGGGATTGGCGGCCCGCGAGAGACAGCTTATGAAGGGGAAGAAATTGTCCCTTCAGTATTTTCGCTCGTCGCCTCACCGGATACCGAATCCTCTTCGACCTCCCCGACAAAGCGACTTACCGATATGATAAGATAATAATTTCGCTTGGGAATCAATTTATTTGCGACGAGGAACCTAATAGCTGCTGCGTGTCTTCCATCGATCGAGACGTCTCGGGGTGATTTACGATTTGAATTCCTATGGCGTGCAGCAAAATTCAACACGAGTGGATGTTACAGATTGTGAAGTTTATTCCATTGTTACTGTAAAATCCTCGTGTTTCGTTTATTCCTCGAAATGAGTGCTTTAAATACGATCCGTTGCCTAAGAACTGAATTTAACGTGGCACGGTTTCGTTGCGAGTCACGTAAATAAAAAGTTTGTAATATCCGCGCAAATTTTCCGCGCGGATTTAATCGCGAGGGACATTTTCGCAATGATGGATTGTATAAGTTTATCTTTGCGCGCGCGAACAAAGGATTAATTTTATTGTTACAGCTGGCAATTCTCGGTGTACCTGTGTACCGCTCTCGCAGTCGAATAATATTAGACTGCGAGCGAATGCCACGAATACACCGGCGGAAACTTCCAGCTCTGTCCTTGTTTCAACGCTCGTCGACTAAATTGCAATTACTGCTAATTAATTGAGCAAAGATCTGTCCTGGCTGCCGGCGGACGCAAAGCAAGGCGCGACTACACCAGGGAAAAAATTATAAATCAGCATGTCGATTGTAATTCCGCTAAGTTATATATAAATAAAATGGAGGTCCTGACAATCTCCAGCAATCGAGAAAATCAGAGAAAGAGAGAGAGAGAGAGAGAGGGGGCAGGGGAGGGGATTCCATTTTGTGTATATTATTTCGTAAATTAAAAGCGCTCGTAAAAAAAGCATAAATTAGCTTTGATCCTGGTACTTTAATATTGCATTTCTTTAATATTTCGTTCTCTCAGTAGAGGTTTATCTCTCATAAAAGAGTGAGCGAACATTTTGCATTCCTTTTTAAGAATTTAATTAGTAAATTCAGATTTTACATACACATAAGTCGTCATCACAGAGCTATTTTTAATTTTAATTTCAGCTAGTTTTAATATTCTACTCATCAACGTGGAATGAAATTAAAAATGTTTCGAAAAACAGGTATCCACAAATTACTTCATATATAATTACATGCGATATAATACTTTAATAATATATATAGTTGATTATAGAATATAAAATTATAATACAAAAATATTGAGGTTATTGTAGTTTTTGCATTATATCTTTTACTATTTTTTTATGCATTGGAGCTACGTATAAGAGTATAAAATCAACTGTTATTGAGAAGTTTATTACTAACAGCAAATTTTTAGCGTTATACGTAAATTATTTTAGCTTTTTTAGTAAAAATGTAAACAGTTAATTAACTATTTTATTAAAAACTAGTGAATCTAATATTAATTGTAATATTATAATACTTAAAAAAATAAAGTTTATCTTTGTTTTATACTTTAGAAACTGAAAATGATATAACTTATTATTTTTCTCCTTCAAATTTTCATCTTGAATGAAACGAAATATTGCGAGATTCTAATAAATCAAAAGAATAAAACTGTATCGCCATATTTCTCGCGCGACGACTGAATTTCATTTTCTTTTATTAAACTTTCATTTATTATACTTTTATTCTCTTTTATTGGATTCACAAAAACGATTTTTCACAATTCATTTAAACCACCATAATTTTATCGCCTTCGGGATACAAAATTTTGTACAAAATAATAAAAAAAATAATTAACCGAAATACTGCTTTTTGATAAAAAAATAAATTTTATTGTTCAAATAAATGCTTGGTTTAATGTACGATAATAGTCTATTCGTCAAAATTAATTTGAAATTCAAGGAATAAAATATATTAACGTGAAATTATAACGCTTTATTAAAATATATTAAATGTGAAATTATTTTATGAAGCATTGAATATTTCGAGGCAGCATACATTGGCTAGCATACAGCTTTAATATTTGTTTCTTTCTTCAGTCTTTTTGCGCATATAGCGCAGTTGTTACATACGCAAGATCTACCATTCGATACTCGGATCGATGGATTTCATGTATCATTCCATTACTGTGTCTCGGAAGATAATCACCAGTGAATAATTACTATCTATTGATCTGCGCGATTAATTGATTCGGCAATTAACGACTCATAAGCGCATCAAGGCGATGGCTGTTTACCAAAACAGATATTTCGTGCGACATTCGAAGTAAAGAATCGACGGACAATGAGAATTAAAAATTAATTTCATTTTGTTGCAATTTTTACGGGCAATAATTATTTCTTTAAAAATATTTATTTTGAGTAGATCTCGCATCGCGCTTTTGAATCTTCTGTTGACCTTAGCATCGTTATTTTTAAGTTAAGAACGCAAAGTAACGTATCTACCGTTAATTAAAAATATTTCGTGTATTTTAACATCGGGAAAGAGAACTGAATGGTTGAATAAAGTAACCATGAGGTCAGTAATTCATTATTTATATACTATTTGTCTCTTGCTTAATTAAACGTCTTCTTCCGTTTATTTGAATCATATATTTGTATGAGAAAAATGAAAGAAAAAAGCTTATTTATCATGCCTTATCAAACTTTCAGGAAAAGGACTTTTTTCACGAACTGTATGATTACTTTAGTGAATATTGACTTGATAAATATAAAATAGACATATAAAAAACTCGATGTGCACGATATTTCTGCAAATATTTATTATTTTAAGCGCTATAATTTGAATTTTATATTTGTATTTTGCAAATCGATGCCGCTCTAACGAAGTTACAACTCCGCAGCGTTGCGCACCGTATCGGTGAATGGCATATTACCTTCTATTTTAATCCGAGATAATGGATCTGTGAATATACTCATCGATAAATTTAACATCTCACAGATGCATTGTACACAT